AGAAGAAGAAGAAGAAGAAGAAGAAGAAGAAGAAGAAGAAGAAGAAGAAGAAGAAGAAGAAGAAGAAGAAGCCAAAAGTTGGTTTCAGATCTGTAGAGCCTGCACCACAGGATGGTACATGAGCTGGGAACTAAGCTGGAGACTTAAAAACACACGCACACAGATAGACAGAGACACGGGGACACGGGTCATCCTTGATACAAGAATGTCCACTTTATTGTGCTCAGGGGCAGCTTATATAGGGCTCTGGTCATGCCCCAGCTCTCGAGATCTCCAGCTGCAGACCCATCAGAACCCACTCCCCTGCCATCAGGGTCTCGGGCTCAGAGAAGCTGCAGGCTATTCAGCGCAAAGGAAAACAAGTTGTTTACAAGAAATTCAGGGTCTGGTGGTCCACAGTCCCCAACATCTCCCTTTCTATATAATTATGGGCATGGCACAAATATGATAGCAATAAGTTGGGACATGCCCTAGCGAACATAGTCCCAAAATCTCTCTCAGGAGCCAGGCTGGGCACCACTGGGCCAAGGTGACGCGCCTCCCATTGCTACTGGGAGGCATGCTCATGCCACAAACTCCTAGGTGTGCAGAGTCAGAGACCACCACCATCTTCTGGGCCTCTCTGGGAACCCTCACAGCAGTCAGTCACCCTCACAAAGCTTGGCTCCAGTCATCCGCCTCTCCGCCCACAGGAACTCCAGGAAGCGAGCTCGTGCTCGGAAACCGCAGAAGGGACCTGAGCTTGCTGCCTGCACACCTGCAAGCCGCTCTTTGGGCCCACAATGCGGACAAGCTCCTAAGCCCCACTTAAATAATCATTTAGGGAATTTGGGCGTAGTTCTCTCCAGACCACTTCCTGCTGTTTGGGGGCACTGTATCTTTGGGGGAATTCACAGCGACATTTCAGGGGGTCTTGGTCCATCAAATCACACCAGTTTAGAAGAAATCCACAGGTCATCATCTTCTGTGGAAACAAAAGTAAAACCTCTTCTCCAAAGCAACATATCCTCAGACCCATATTTTAAAATCAAAATACCTTTTTTAGCAGTTCCCAGAATCAAATGTCTTTCTCCAGTCAACCAACCAAAAGACAACACAATAATATACATAATCCAAATTCTCTGTGCACATTCCATCCTTTCATGGTTTATAAATCTGTTTATACTCTGATTCTTTAAAGACTTAACTCAAACACACATAACACACATACCCATTTAATCCACTCTCACCATTCCTGGGGGCAATCTCGCTGAGGGCCTCCACTTGTAAAACTACACCTGTTCTGTTAGGTGCTCTCGCTACGTGCTATGGGAACTAGGCTGAAAATTTAAACACACACACATACACACACACAGACAGACAGACAGACAGACAGGGCCACGGGGGACATCCTTGATACAAGAATGTCAAGAATGCCCACTTTATTGTGCTCAAGGGCAGCTTATATAGGGCTCTGGCCATGCCCCAGCTCTCAGGATCTTTCAGCTGCAGACCCACCAGCCTGTCATCAGGGTCTCGTGCACAGAGCAGAGGAAAACAAGTTGTTTATAAGAAATTCAGGGTCTGGTGGTCCGCAGTCCCCAACACAGATACCCTGGAACTAGTCACAGACAGTTGTGGGCTGCCATATGGGTGCTGGGAATTAAACTGAATCCTCTGGAAGAGCAGCCTGAGCTCTCAACTACTGAACCATCTTGCCACCCCCCACAAATATAACTTTTAAGATACTAATTAACACCAAAAAATGCAAATAATCCAACCAGTAAGTGGACAAATAAAACAGACACTTCTCAAAAACAAAGTCCAGTTGGGCAACAGATATATACAAAAGAAGGTTCAGTGTCCTTGGCCATCAGGGAAACACAAGTCAGTACTGCTTTAAGATCCTATTTCACCCCAGTCAGAATAGCTACAAACAAACAACATAGGCTGGAGAGCTGGGTCAGCAGTTAAAAGCACTGTTGATCTTGCAGAGAACCTTGATTCAGCTCCCAGCACCCACGTGGGAGGTCACAACCATCTCCACCCCAGTTCCAGGGGATATGATGCCCTCTTCTGACTTCCTCCAAAATAAAAACAAAAAAGGCAAACATGTGATACACATACATACATACATACATACATACAGGAACATTCATATACAGAAAAGTTTTTTAACCTAAAAAAAAAATTCTTTTCATGAGCTAGAGACATGGCTGAGGTATTAAGAACACACACGGATGAGGACTCCTCAAAAACTAAAAGTAGCCAGGCAATGGTGGCGCACACCTTTAATCCCAGCACTCAGGAGGCAGAGGCAGGTGGATCTCAGTGAGTTCAAGGCCAGCCTGGTCTACAGAACAAGTTCCAGGACAGTCAGGACTGTTACACAGAGAAACCCTGTCTTTAAAAAACTAAAAAAGTAGAACTACCATAAAAGAAGAACGCCGCTCCTGGACATATACACACCCGGCAGAGCTGAGCCGCTCCTGGACATATACACACCCAGCAGAGCTGAGCCGCTCCTGGACATATACACACCCAGCAGAGCTGAGCCACCACACCACCTGCATGGCTGCTGCAGCGCTACTCACAACAGCCTGTAATGGAACAGTCTTGTCGCCACAGGAAAGGAGTTAAAGAGGATGTGGTGCAGGTGCAGTGCAGACAATAGAGCCAAAAAGGATGAAATTCTATCGTTTGCTAGAAAATGGATGGATGCCGGAGAAGCATCGAATTAAACAAAATAAATCAGATTCATAAAAATATGTTTCTCTCACATGTGGAACCTAAAGAGAGAGAGTGGGGAGGAGGGGAAGTAGAACTAAGTAGGAAGAGAATGAATCCTAGGAAACGGGGTAGGAGAGAGTTACAAGGGTGAATATGGTCAAAGTACATAATACAAATGAATAAAATGTCATTAAGAAGCCTGTTACTTTGCACACATAAATATACACTGATAAAATATTTGCCTGTATAGTTTCCATTTTAGTTGGGAAGATGGCAACCCATCATTCTCCACCCATCCACATCCATGGATCCACGGACGCCTCAGAACTAATGAGTGGAAGTGCAGCTGAGAGGACAAAGTCTCATGTACCCCAGGCTAGTCTTGAACTCACTATACAGCCAACACTGGCCTTTTATTCCTGATCCTCCTGCCTCCTGCCTCCACCTCCCATGTGCTAGGATTATAGGCGCACCACCATACTGACTAGAAACATGTTTTCTGTATCTAAAATTCAGATATGCAGACAAACAAAATATTTGAAAATTATTACATAAAAAATTATAAATATATAAAATTAAACTAAATTGCATTATAGATTGAATATAGTACCCAATTTAAAAAAAAAAAAGCCTAATAAGGAGGTCTGGAGAGATGGCTCAGCAGTCGAGAGCACTGTTTGCTCTTCCAAAGGACCTGAGTTTGATTCCCAGCATCCACACAATGGATCATAATCATCTATAAATGAGTTCTAGGGGATCCAAGGCCCTTTTCTGGCCTCCTCAGGTGCCAGACAACCACGCAATACACAGACATACAAATAGACAAAATATCCCTATACACAAAATAAAAAATAAAATCTAAAAGAAAGTATCTAATTATCAGACTGTCCCCAGGAAATTAAGTCATAAGGTCCCCAATACACATACCATGAACAGAGAGAAAATGACACCCACCTTGAATGAATTATTCCCAACTATCCTTCTTTGCACTTGATCATGATAGCATCTCACCAGTGTCCAACAATGTGACCATCTCGCCGTATAAATACTAACTTTGACCTCCCACCAACATCACACAGGTACATGCTTCACAGATCTCATAATCAAAATTTAAAATAATCTCATAGGGAACAATTACAAAACTAAAGCATTAAAAAAAATAAGTATACTGTGGAAAATATAAAAATGTCATTTATTTACCTTATTTACTAAATAGTTAACTATAAAGATCCAATTTTGCCTTGCAGTTTAAGGAGTTCCTTTTTTGCCATATTTATTTTTTATAGTCAAATGCTAAACCCAGTTCCTTCTGCACTTTATTCCATACGATTGTAGACTCTGTGTCTAAGGACATCTCCCTCATGGTCCTGAGGCTCAGGGATACAGATGGCGGCCATCTTCATATGTTTGAGTAATAGCGGTCACGGTTCTGAAAGTCCCTGTGAGCGTATCTGGCATAGGTCTTAGTATGTGGGATCCTGCCGAAAGGCTCACGGTCATTGAAACAAGACTCGAAAACGTCATCCACAGCCTTCTGGGCCTCTTCTCTGCTGATGTTCCGCACAGCCAAGATTGAAAGAGCAGCTCTGTCCCGCACACAAGTCTACAGAAGGGAGAGTGGGTGTTGTCACCTGGCGTGAAAATTCAGTCCTATGATACAACTACATATTACCTGGACTAAGATTCATTTCTCCAGGGCTGGAGAGATGGCTCAACAGTTAAGAACACTGGCTGCTCTTCCAGAAGATCCAGGTTCAAATGCCAGCACCCACATGGCAGCTCACAACTGTCTGCACCTCTAGGCCTAGGGGATCTGACACCTTCTCACGGTCATACATGCAGGCAAAAGACAAATGAACATAAAATAAAAATTTTAAAAAAATCATTTCTTCTCCTGTTCTCTTAATTTCTGCCATTCTAAAAATTAAAATAACATTAATAACTCTAACTCTCAAACCATAGAACATGTTAGTTCAATATAAACCCATTTAGACATAACTAAGACCTCCATTTTCTTATTCTGGGAGGAACATAGCCAGATTTAATCCTCTGAACATCCTCTGCCAAACAATAATTCCCAATTGCAAAATCACAAAAAAAGGTCTGTAGACGAAGTCCTGACTGATCTTGCTTAAGGGGCCTGGAGATGACTCTCTCGGTTAAGAGAGCTGTCTGCTGTTCTTGAGGACCTATGTTCAGTTCCCAGCAGCCATGGTGGGCAACTCACAAACGCCTGTAGCTCCAGCTCTGGGGACCTGATGCCCTCTTGTAGCTTCCTCAGGCACCTACACGCATGTACTTCAAAGCCTGGGTGCTATTACACCTTTTGTTGAAAGCCAGTGATTCTTTTTTCTCACCCTGAGACACGGTTTCTCTGTGTAGCTTTGGAGCCTGTGCCTGTCCTAGAACTTGCTCTGGAGACCCAGACTGGTCTAGAACTCACAGAGATCCACCTGCCTCTGCCTCCGGGATTAAATGCATACACCACCAGCAGCCAGCTAAAGTCAGTGATTCTTATCTGAGTTCTCCCTGAAGGATTCCAGAACCTTAGCAAAACGTATTCTCAAGGGGCCCTGGCAAACCAGGAGGTGGAGAACCACTTAGGTAAATGGTTCCTTCAAAAAAACTCTAGATCAGAGGTTTGGGCATGCGGAAATTGACTTGCTTAGAGGTCTATCATTTGTGTAACAATAAAAGAAGCGCGAAGCCACCAGTAGTCAGCCCATGGAGACTGACCCCCTTGGTGCGTCTGCTAAACCGAATTACATTCTGGAGTGACCCTCTTTCTTCAGCTGACCGTTGAAACACAGACCACAACAACACGCACACATAACTAAAAGTAAAACACATCTTTTTAAAAACTAAACTGTTCTTCACTCCCACACATCTTTCCTCGCCTTTCAGCTGACTGGTGACAGATCCGCTGTTTATCCCAAGGAAGCGGGAAACCGCTCACAGACAACAAACTTGAAAGTGCCTTCATCCAGGCAGAAAGAAAATTCAAACACAGGCTCTGCATCGGCCTCACTTTTGCTAGGAGAATAACGTACCTATTATCTTGAATTTGTCAATCCTAAAACTTAACATGTTTTAAGAAATGTAAGACCCTGCCGTTTCAGTTCTCAGAGAGCTTTCAAAATATTTCTTTCTCTGTTCTCCAAACTATATTTCAAAAGAATTGGTGAGTGATCTCTCCATAAAAGACAATCAGAAGCAGGCATGGCAGCACATACCTGTGAAGTCAACACTCAGGAGACAACGGCGTGAGGACCAAGAGTTCCAGGCCAGTTTAGACGACATATCACACATAAATTAAAGGCCAGGTGCGATGACACCAGCCGCACTCCCAGCAGCTGGAGGCTGAGGCAGGAACAAAACCAGCAACCCTCGCTCAGGGAGCAATAAATAAAAAATAAACAATGATTGTGATGACAGTCAGCAACAGCCTCTGTTTCCCCAGTTTGCATGGTCAGCACACTCAAGCTGGAAATGCTTGTTCACCAAAGGACAGCCAGCGGTGCACAGTGAGACCCTGACCCAAAAACAACAACAAACAAACAAACAAAAAAAAACATCCAGATGTCAAAGGGTCAGAAGACCCAATGAGAGATGACAATTAAGATTTACTCCTCTGGGGAAATGAGAAAAACAGGGAAAGGAAAGGTGCTTTTAACTAGGGAGTGAAAGAGAAATGAATACAAGAAGGGAAAAGATCAATAAAACGGTCTTAAGTAGTCAGAAAGAATCGCTGGGTGGTGGTGGAGCACGCCTTTAATCCCAGCACTTGGGAGGCAGAGGCAGGGGGATATCTGAGTTTGGGGCCAGCCTGGTCTACAAGAGTTAGTTCCAGGACAGGCTCCAAAGCTACAGAGAACTCTGTCTCGAAAAAAAAAAAATTTTTAAAAAAGTCCTAAGGAATCATACTATCTATCCTACCTAAAATTACCTCTAGCATGTGTAAATCTGTCTACATATACAATTTAAATAAAATTTTCCCATCTGGGCTGACAATGTTCCTGCCCCCAAGAGCCAAAGACCACCTAGCACAAACCCAACACCAAGCATCCTTTTGTGCTGGCTAATTTTATATCAACTTGACACAGGCTAGAGTCACCTGAGAAGGAGCCCCAATTGAGAAAATGCCCCCACGATGCTGAGTTGTACCTAAGCCTGTAGAGCATTTTCCTAATTAGTGATTAAGTGGGAAAGCCCAGCCCATCATGAGAGGTGACAGCTCTGGGAGGTGACATCCCTGGGCTGGTGGTCCCGGGTTCTGTAAGAAAGCAGACTGAGCAAACCGTGAAGAGCAAGCCAGTAAGCAGCACCCTTCCACGGCCTCCACATCAGCTCCTGCATTCACAAGGGTCAATGATGCAGGTATATATACAACCAACTGTAGGGCCACTAGGATATAAGGGAAGCAGGATAGGATTTCATTTACAGTCTCTTCCCATCCCCATTTGAAAGAATTCCAGAGTTGGAGCTGGAGAGATGGCTCAGTAGCTAAGGGCACGCGCTGTTCTTGCAGAGACCCGGGTCTGGTTCCCAGCACGCACATGGCGGCTCACAACCGTCTATGACCCCACTTTCCAGGAGATCCAGTGCTTCCTCCCGACCTCCACAGGCACCATGCACACACATGGTGCACTCACATACATGCAGGTAAAACTCATACACCTAAAATAAAATAAAGTCTTTGTCTTTTTTTAGATGCTGCAGAACTCTCTTCTCGGACAGTCACATGGCTGACCCATGACTATGAAATAGAACGAACATCCATCAGCTTAAACAGTACAGTAGCTGGTTTGCTCTTCAGGTGGGTAGCTCTTGATACTAAGTGTATTTCCTTGCTTTTGATGTTCATTACTGTTTTGCTTCCACATGTGTCTGTGTGACGGTGTCCGAGCCCTGGAACTGGAACTACAGACAGGTGTGAGCTATCATTGCTGGGATTTGAACCCGGGTCCTGTGGAAGAACAGGCAGTGCCCTCAGCCACTGAGCCATCTCTCCAGCTCTGTGTTTCCTTCCTTTACGTACTGCTTCTCCTGGCCCTCATGAGGGTCAGTGAGTGCATGGGTGTGTTTACCTGGTGGTGTCGTCTTAATCCAAAACGCAACCTGAAGATTTCATTCACAAGTGAGCAGTCTCCACTGAGGCTTGCAGCTCGAATCTGTCACAAACACAGAGGGCAAGTGAGGGGCAAAGGGGCTCTCTGTCTATCCGCAGCCAGCAAACGTTTCAAACTGGGAAGGAACAGAAAATCAGCATGTATTTCTGAGACTCCAGCACATCTGAAACTTTCTTCTAAATCACTTCTTTTTGTTTGGTTGGTTGTTTGGTTGTTTGGTTGGTTGGTTGGTTGGTTTTGGTTTTTCGAAACAGTGTTTCTCTGTATAGCTTTAGAGCCTGTTCTGGAACTAGCTCTGTAGGTCTTGAACTCACAGAGATCCACCTGTCTCTGCCTCCCAAGTGCTGGGATTGAAGGTGTGCACCACTACCACCCGGCTCTAAATCATTTCTTTAAATATCAGTTGGCAAAAGCAGAATCCCAAGCACAAGCTACACAAATCAGGGGCACTGTGGCAGGGGAGTTCAATCGCTCACCAAAGGGAATTTTCTAAACATTACCTGGAGCCTCATAATCAAACAATTTCTTCTGAAAGAAGGAGTCAGAGAGGTGGACCCCACAGTTAAAGTTCATGATCTCTAGAAGATACAAACACTTGTAGAAATTACCAAAGGGACTTCAAGAAAACGTTTTTCCAAAGAAGGTGACTAAAACTAGCAATTGATGCTGACCACAGCCCAAATCTGAGACACTCTCAGACTGTCTCCAGCTGCTGGGAGTCTCCTCCAGGTCCGGAGCTGTGTGTGAGATGTTACATGATACAAATCACAGGCCCAGAGCT